TGCGACTCGAACCCAGTACTGTTCGCTTCAAACACCATCGCCTCATCCACTTAACTACTGATTTACATATGCCAACAAGAGACTGATCGATTGCAGTCCTAAATAACAATGGGAAGATTCAAGTAAACCACACAAATTGAATGGATCATATGTGTACATTCTTTGGATTGTTTCAAAAGGAAACAATTATAAAGAATACAGCATGTAAAATAAACTAACTATATCTAGTCAGTTATATGACCAAAATGAATTTTAATTTACAATGGATTGATCATTGAGTGATGACCAATGTCATGTATATCAGATCGTTCTTAGTGAAGATCGAATCTTATTGACCAAGTTGCAATGTGGCCACTAGTCTAGGTGACTTGATATTGAGTGTACCATGTTAGGATAAGATAGTGGTTGGACGCAGTCAGCAGGAAACTCTGGACCTAAGTTATCTGCTACTTGATACTCATCAGTAAGTTGTACCTGTAACCTTGAGAGCACTGATGCTCCCTGACAAATTCGATCCTATGTCATCCAGCTTCACAGTCACAGAGATCATCGCTGGGTTATCCGTAAAGCAAATGACCTCCTGTACGATTGTGATGTATTAATAATTGATTGATCACTAGATGGTGATCAATGTAATGTGTTATTTATTTGTTTATTTGAACACATAAATGTTGGTACAAGGAGGCATCAAATACATATGCGCCACACAAATCTCATTCGATATGTGTGACGGCTGATATACTGCCCGGGTGCCCAAACCGAAGCAGGTGGTTTTCTTACGAGACCACACCCCGAGCCTTTGACCTAAAGGTCTAACCCACAAGGCAGTGGAGCATCGTAAGGAGATGCAATCTCATGGAGGCCGGTGACCAACAATTGGTTCATACGCCATTTGTTCCTGCAGGATACTGGACCCATGTGCACCATTGATTTGGAATCCGGTTAGAGCGCCGGATATTCGATTTTCGTCCTCTCTATTTCGTAAACAACAACACCCCCGCCACGAGAAGGCAGTGAGTAGGACTTCCCTGGCAGAGGCTATATACGCGTGGTCATGTGCGAGCATTTGGATAGGGAGAGCGGACTCTTTCCACTCTTGGTCATACCAGGGCATTTGGGGGCAATGTAATGTGTGTCAGTTCCTTAATAAACTAAGAATTAACTTTTTTAACCCACTGAATTATTAATTTTTAACCAACAGATTTAATCATGTGTAATCACTTATTTCTAAAAACAAACGGAAGTTATTTACTACAGGATACGTGCCTAAGTGTGTGTGTTTATAGGTGCGTATTTGTACAGGTAAACACATAGGAGAGAGTTAATACATTTAGAAATGAAGGATATGTAATTAGACATTGTGTAAAACTTCAAAACTCCTTATACAAAAAAAAACAGCCTAGTGATATGAATGCTGATAGTAACAGGCGTCAAAAATAGTTTATAGCGTCAGGCAAGTTGATTAAATTTAGTTAATTAATGAAACATAACATAATGAAAGGTGGTGGAAATATGTGGATTGTTAAAATTTATACATATATGTTTGTATGTATGATTTACTGTTCACTTATTATTGGATTAGTTACTTAGGTCTGTTACCACCAATGGAGCATAAATCATTGATCAGCATTCTCCAACCCACTCTGTCATAGGCTTTCCTTTCCAGTTCTATTCAATTATTGTTGATTCTTCTCATATCTATCTCCATTTCTCGGAGTAATGTGTTATTTGATCTACCTCTTCAGGATTCCATGTGGAGGCTTGTCTTGTGACACAGTTGGGTGCTTTCTTCAATGTGTGTCCTATTCACTTCCAGCGCTTCTTCTTGATTTCTTCCTCTGCTACAATCTGATTTGTTCTCTCCCACAGTAGGTTGTTGCTGATAGTGTCTGGCCAACGGATCCGAAGTATTTTGCGTAGACAATTGTCAATAAACACTTGTATCTTTTGGATGATAGCTTTGGTAGTTCTCTAACTTTCCGCAACATACAGTAGAACTGACTTTGATGTTGGTTGAGTTGTTTTGAATTCCGAATGTTCTTCAATTGTAAGTATGCTGCTCTTGCCTTGCCGATTCGCGCCTTCACATCTAAATCAGGTTCATTGTGTTCATCAATGATGTTGCCTAGATATGTAAAGGTGATGGCTTCCGTAGTTCTCCAAGTTTCCACCCCATACAGTAGAACTGTCTAGACTTGTGGATTACTGACTGAGTAACTGTAAGATTATAGTGTACAGCACTATATGGGAAAGTGTTTAATCGATTAATCAAGCTGTGGACTATGATTAAGATTCGTGCTACATGCCAAGTAGCTGACTAACAGGATGTAGTAAGCAGTTTTTTCTATTCTTGTAATTTCTGACTAATCTGATGCATGATTTATGAACACTTGAACCAGTATATACTTCCATTACATTCGACATTGTTTACAATTAATAATTAAGTTAATATATTGGTGACGATTTCCAAAATGAAATTATGTCGAATTCAAGCGCGGAAACGACGTCTGAAGTAGAGACAGTTCGATACAGCTATACAATAATGCGAAATCAGAATAGCCTGGAAGCTTTGTATCTGAAATTGGAACCAAATCAGTCGATAGCACATCAAATAAGAAATCATCCTTTACACACAAATTATTACCATATGTGGTATGGAACGGAATAAACAGTACATAATTTTCATAGTTTGAGACACAAACTGAGTTTACCCAGACCACCATTTGAAACATGGGAGCATCGAACAACTACACACCTTTAGCAATGGATGAGAATTGCACAATATCATGAGTTGATTAAAGTTAGACATTACCGTTGAATCAAAGCTCAGTGATCTAGGGAGTTAAACGTCTGCATGCGAGACCGATGGCCCTGAGTACATTTTGCGGACCCCAGGACCGTGGAAATGGACATCCCAGGAGTCCCATAATAGGATGAAACAGCTGTTCAATGATGGTTTAGATAAGACTACTTCGTGTTTTGAACTACAGAAAATTCCGTAAGTCAATTATTGTGAAAGTAAAGATTGCATGATAAATATTCCATATCAAAAATTGAATTTATAAATACCCACATGAAATTTGAAATGAAACTTGGGTTATTAAATTTGTGTATGGGCTGGGAGCCCAAAATGCCCTGGTACGATCGAGAGTCGGCCCTCCCTCTCCAAACGTTTTCACATGGCCACATGCATACAACCACTGACTGAAAAGTCCTACTCACTGCCTTCTTGTGGCATAAATGTTGATTACGAAATAGAGAGGAAGAAAGGTGGATGTCCGGAGGTTTAACCTGGTTGGTGGATATGGAGGATCCATCTTGGAGAGTTAGAAAACCCTCATTCCTAACCAAAGGTGCACATAGGCTATAGTATCCTGATGGAACAAATGGTGTATGAACCTATTGTTGGTGACCGGCTACCATGGGACTGCACCTCCTGACGTCGCTCCACTGGCTTGTGGATCAGAACTTTAGGTCGAAGGCTCCGGGTGGGGCCCTCTAAGAAGACCACTTGCTTCAGTCTGTGCACTCATGCAGTATCAGAGACATCACAAAAATGAAAGTTATTTGATACTGGCCTAATCGTTATTGTGTGGCGCATATTCATTAGGTGCCTTCTCGTACTAATGTTTGCGTTCAAATAAAACAAACAAATGGGCTGGGATACTGTCCGGAGGCCCAAAACGAAGCAGGTGGTCTTCTTGGGTCAATCTTCGAGCCTTTGACCTGAAGGTCTAATCCACCGGTGACCAACATTGGGTTCATACGTCATTTATTCCCTCAGGATGCTGAAGCCTATGTGCACCATTGGTTTGAAATCAGACATTTTCAACATCCCCACGTGGAACCGCCGTAACCATACGCGCAGTTCAACTCCGGACTTTTGCCTTCCACTCTCTAAACTTCGTGAGTAGTATCACCATGAGGTAGTGAGTAGGATGTCCCTAACAGTGGTTATGTGAGAGCGTTTCGAAAAGGAGAACGAACTCTCGCTACTGTCGGCCATTTGTAGATTATTAAATGGCTGAATTCTTGTATTTCTATATCCTTTTTATTTTAAACTTCCAATAAACTTATTTTGTTTCCATTTATTTAGTTGATGGATAGTGTGTGATTTACATCAGAGATTTACCATTCTATAATTAAGGTTCGGTTATACTGTGTATGTACTTACCAAACAGTCGCGAATGCTTACCCACACCTGTTACTCCTTGTGTAGGAGCATAGGCCGCCCACTAGTACTCTCCATCTAACACTGTCCTGGACAATCCTTGCTAGCTGTCATTCATAATGTGTTCTTTGGCTTTCCCCTTTTTCACTTCCCTTCAGTATTCCAAGTTAGGGATTGCCTCGTGACGCAGTTTCATGATTTCCGTAATGCATGTCCCATCCATTTCCATCGTCTCTTCCTAATTTCCTCTTCAGGTAGAAACTGGTTTGTTTTCTCCTACAGAAGACTGTTGTTGATGGTATCCGAACAATGGATGTTGAGTATCTTGAGTAGACAACCATTTATAAATACTTGTACCTTCTTGATGATGCTTGTTGTAGTTCTCCAAGTTTCAGCTCCGTACAGTAGACCTACCTCGACGTTCGTATTGAAGATTCTCACTTTGATATTGGTTGACAGACAGTTGTTTTGAGTTCCATATGTTCTTCAATTGAAGGGATGCAGCCGTTGCTTTACCAATCCTCGCCTTTACGTCTGTATCTGATCCTCCTTGTTCATCGATGATGCTTCCCAGGTATGTGAAGGATTCCACATCTTCTAGAGTTTCGCCATCAAATGTGATTGGGTTGATGTTCTCTGTGTTATATTTGAGAACCATAGAATCGCAAACACTTCAATACCCAATTCAATCTCCAATAATTATTGTATATACTACACAAGAACTGACAAAAATGTATCTTTCATCTTGTGTAAGATCATCACAATTGATATTCTCTTTAATGTATCATGTTTAAAAGATGGAAATCAGTGTATACACACATAACCAAATGAACATCTATATATATATATATTTCTTACAACTTTCAATAATACAATATAAATAATGTTGTACCATTTGTAGAATAGACAAACATAGATACATTGAGAAACAAAACAAAGAAGAACTAGAATCATAATTGAAGAAAAGTTTGTATATAAATAGTGAAAAATACTAAATATACAGATCTATTCAGTAAGACTATAATTTATGAATATACCATTGAATGATGCTACATTGATCTTGATAATATCCATTTAATAACCAGGATCAAAATGAACGTTATAAACCAATATGAAGAATTCGAATGATGATTTACAATGGATTGTTAACGTTAGAAATTAGATCTTTTTTTCAGGAGGGGAGTGGTGGGGGAGTTGAGAGGCGGTTTCATCATGAACTATCATGTCAAAACTTTATTTAATCAAATTAGATGTGTGAGTGACGTTTGTGTCGAAAAAATCTAAAATCTGTTATCTTTTTTTTTTGTTAAACCCTGATTAGTTCATCCATAAATGATAGTTTCACCGGTTGAGAGAAAAAACAAACAAAAAGAAAAGATTAAAATGGTGGAATAGTTAAGAATTGAAGAGGTAACCATTTTATTTTTTTTTTGCTTTTGAATCAATCCATGAAAGACAATTGGTTGTTGTTGCTGTTGTTGTTGTTGATGATGTTAAAAATTACTATTACTAATAAGATTACGCCCTAGTTATAAAAACACAACAATCATAGTAATAGTCGAGTATTAAGCAAAGAATAAAGTAAACAGTGAAACAAACAATAACAACAATAGACAGTGCATTCTTTTCTTTTCTTTTTTTTGTAAAAAAAATAAATAAACATTTTTCACTATAAAAAAAAGAGAAATACAATTTTCTATTTTTTGTTGTTGTTGTTGTTCTCCTTTTCTGAGAGAGAGAGAGGGGTGCATAATTTGGTAAAAAGCGGGGGGAGGGAATAAATTGGAGAAATATCCAAGAGAGAGAGAGAGAGACAGAGGGATAGGGGGGGAGAGAGAAGCAGGAAAGGAAAGGGAAAAGAAGAGATAAATTTAAATGCGTACAGCTAATAAATTCTTATGATACAATAATACATATGCATCTGTATGTAAAACATCATTTAAATTAACTGATACAACTTTTTGATCATCACATAAACACCAAGCACCAGGACCAACACGTATATAAGCTGTATAATGACCAGAATTAGTTTGACCACTATGATTTAATACAGCATATAGAGAATATCTAAAATTGAAAAAATAAAATAGAATTATAAAATATTCATTTGAATGTTTTAATATAAATGTCCTGGTACAGTCGATGGTGGAGAGAGTTCGCTCTCTCTCTTTAGAAATGCTCTCACATAGCCACGCGTATAGTCACTGACTTCTCGAAGCGGAGGTGAAGTTTACGAAATTGAGAAGAAAAGTGAAAGTTCGAGGCTTTCACAGGGAGGGTGGATAAGAAAAATCTACCAAAGGGAATTGGATAACCCTGATTTCAAACCAATGGTGCACATAGGCTCCAGGATACTGAGGGAACAAATGAAGTACGAACCAATCGTTGGTCACTGACTACTGTGGAACTGAATCTCTTAAAGTTACTCCACTGCCTTATTCATTAGATCTTTACATCAAAGACTCGAGGAGTGATCCTCTAAGAAAATCACTTGTTTCGGTTCGGGCACCCGGGCAGTATCCTAGCCCTCACACGAATCGAATGATTTATGTGGCGTATATCTATCTGGTATCTTCTTGTACCTATGTTTGTGTTTAAATAAATTTTAAATAGTAAATAATTAATTGATAACTAAGTAGTAATCAATGTCATATATGTCACGTCCTTTGTTATGAGTATATCTCAGTCCTACAATAGGTCAGTCGAGGCCAGAATAACTGAGCAGACAACATTTCTGATTATGACGCTGAAAGACACAGAACAAAATCTGTTAGAGAAAATCCGTTCTCTTTAGATCACAAATATACCTTGATGATCAGTGTTAAATAGCATGAAACTTGACTTCATGGTACTCTGTTGACTACCTCCACACACTATCTTACAGACTGTAATTTATGGACGCCAGTATTCTAGCCCACACACAAATCGAGTGACGAAGTGTGGAAAATATACATTTGGTGCCTCCTTCTACCAATGTTTTATGTGTTTAAATAAATTAATAAGTTGGTTATAGTAATCACAGGGAAACATGTATGAGTATCAGTAGGGTTTTTGTGGATATCATAGTAATTTCAATGGTTGAGATCATGAGTCAATTGAACCTAGACCACCGTGGAAAATGTGGAAGCGAAACGGGATCGTAGATGCGCACTGTCACTGACGAGTCCCATGGTGGAACGAAACGACCGTCCAGTGCTTCCAGGTTTTCCATGATGGTCTAGCTTCACTTGACTCATGATCTCAACCATTGAAATGACTATAATATCCCCAAAAAACGTTCTGATATGAATCAACATATGTTCACTAGGGACTGGCTTCAAGAGGTATTTCCTGGAGTTCTAGTGAGAAACAGTGACCAGTGAAGTTCAACCGGGTCTGTTGTGAGATAGTAACTCACTGAATACAATTGTAGACATTGACACAAATGGATGCCGGCCGGCTCAGTGGTCTAGGGGTTAAGCGCCTGCGCGTGAGACTGATAGGTCCTGAGCATCTAAAAATTATTTCTCATCAACATTTCAGACTAGGAAGTCAGTATATGAAGAAAGAAGAGTATAGCCCCAAACACGTGTGATAATATATTCATTTACTAATACTAAGATTTAGATATAATGTTAATTTAATTGAAGTCATTAACTCTTGGTGTATGTTTTTTGGTTAGGCTCGATGAAACAGTTGTCATTTGTCAAGGCAGACTTTAGACGACATCAGTCTTGATGATGTAAATTCATTTACGTAGTCTGTTCAATAGATAAACAATGTAAACTTTTCAGTTTGTTAATTGTAAGCAAACGATCAACCAGAACGTACTCAAACCTTACACTAGTTTAATTTAATTTAACCTTAGTGGACTGTCTCTATGCAGATACTAATCTATGAAAGTTGAAATCGATCTATAAGTACATAGTCTCTTCATGTGTTTAGATGTTTGGAAATAGTTGTCCTCAAGTTTTTAACTTATAGTCAATTATAATCAATGTAAAGTCTCGTATAAATTTGCGTGATCAAAGTTTCCATACAACATTAAAACGACAAGATGAAATTAACAGAACGAAAATCAAATGATCTGAAATCATTGTAGTAGCAAATGATAATGATCAAGACGAAACATTGAAAATCTGGTTCGCGAAGATAGGAAAGAATATTGGAACTGAAGGTAAACAGAGAATGTATCTAGGCCACTGTGACCAATTTCGAGGCATATCATTAAAAGTATTCAATCACTGATCAACGTTATCGAGTGATACCGCAACCAAATAGTACTTATCTACCGTATCTTACCTTCAAATTATAATTATCTCAATGAACATTTCACGACGAGGCAGGTCGTAGGTGTTGGGCATGCTTAATACATGTACGAGCCACCTCAGAAATTTGTCTAATATAACTATACTACTAACAAATAACTAAGTCATTCCATCTTTGATCACTAAAATTCATAATAACAAACTTACTTATCATACCAAGCTGATTGATCGCCGACAATTTGATGTAAATACGGAGCCATATCCAATTCAACAGGGAATGCGATCGATGTATTGATTTTCGTATCATGATGACAACGCTTGTTGACATGATGAAATGACAGTTGAAAAGAGTCGAAAATCAAGAACATAGATGGTATGAAGTTGAGAAAACAATCCAAATAATTAACAACAAGTTAGAATAGTTAGGGGTGGTCAAACCAAGATGTGGCATGAATCTTCGACATCACTAACTTTTGGTCTGAGCCATGTTGGTAGATGCAGACTACTTGGTTGGAGTTCGCGTAACTATCGTAACCAATGGTTGGAGACTCGGGGTGACATGGCTCAGAATCGATCACAACGGCGTAGGTGTATCAACTCTTTGTCTTCTCTTAAACTGTGAGATTAAAATCACTTTATAACCTTCTTTCTACGAATTACCTCTTTCTTTCTATATTATATTCTTATATGCAATCTTTCTTTTATATATTACTAGCATTGAAGTAACTACGTCTATGAATTTGGTGTTCACCGTGTTGTGTTAATGAGGTATGGCAACTTGGATTGATGCATGTATGTGACCGGTCCTGCGTTATAGATGACTAACTAACTGAGAATGGTTAAAGTACTATTTGATGATTGAGATTATAACCGCAAACGTTTGAGGGATGGCGTTGATACTTTGATTTTCAAGGGTCACAAGAGACTGTGTTTCTACGTGGCATCAAGCTTAATGTGTCATATCTGCAGCCTGACTATTTATTACTCTGTGTTTTCCGCTTCTTCCATATGATTACGAAATACCTGGTGATCTATTCCGGTGTAATGTTGATTAAAGACTAAATTTCCAGCTTGAAATTATTATGTTTTTAATGTGTTATGTCTGGTTGTACTAAAATGCACATATATAACTACAAACAAATGAGGATAAGTCCAGTTCACTCGACTTTCAACTAATAAGAATACAGGTTTGAATCCCACTTCATTTACGTCCATTTGAATATTTATATAATAGCATCACTACTCTTCATACAATCAATATTATGCTCAGTGGAGCTGAATTCATAAAACCGTGGTTTTGAGTTAGCAACGTCGCCTTGATAGCAGTCAGGACGAAATCCTGAATATCAGTGTCATGCTCGTCAACACGATGCACATGAAATCTCGAGTGAACTAATGTTCTCTAGTAGATCCAAATCTGGGTCACTCAATTTCATATTGTTGAACGTAACCATTGAACGGACCGAATAGCTCAGTAGTAACATATTAAACTGTGGGACTGAGTGGTTCAGATTTCAATCCAGTAGAACATTAGTTCCTTCAATATTTCAGGTACGCCGTGTTAGAGAGTTCCAACTAGCATGATATTTATATCCTAAGTTTCCTCCTGACAATGTTTAACCACCTAACATCGAAACATAGTGAACATGATGTCCAGTTACTTGGAATGATGGACGTGTTGCAACTTGATAGATCAAATCATTACTTATGGATCAATCAGTGTATCTTGGAAGTAATCATTAATTCATGGAAGAAATATTACTGTTATATCTTGAATGTTGATTTCTTGATATACCGCGTATAGTAGAACACTAGAACACCAAAACCCTTCCAAGTCGCAATAAGAAGACACAATACTAATGAGAGGAATATTATTCCAAACAGTGTCGATCATAGTACAAAATTGTCAGGTATTTATAGTTTTTAGTAAGAACGAAGTCATCATTACAGTCCTCCAATCCGCATACAGGGGGCTATTAGCATTATCCAATCGGGAAGCTACACGTAGGGATTCTAGAATATTCTTCCGAAAGGTGATTAGATGGAACATCTTCGACTACTTCTGAGCCTCTTACAACTTCCACGAGTTCACCGGTGGTCCGTCGTCACAATTACGTTTCAAATAGTATTAACCTCTATAAATCTTAAAGGGTTGGTATTCAATTATTGTTATCATTTTCAAGTGGGGCTGTGGTTCAAAGATTAAAGAACTAGACTTTCAGTTATCAGACCACGAATTCGAACTCCACCCCACATGCTTTAGTTTGAGAAATCAGGTAACACTACTGACTCTCATGTATTAAGAGCGCAGCTCAAAGCCAAGTAGATGAATATATACCTAGTGAGTTGTAAGTTGGATTTTATTAAACTCTGTCGATATATAGACTCTTTGAGCGAGAGCCTCAATAGTTCATGTGGCTACCAAGTAATTATATACTGTGTAATAGCTAGTAATAGAATACAGAGTGTACGTTTTGTCTCATATAAGACTAGTATTGTTAATATTTACAGCAAGACTTGCCCCCAAATGCCCTGGTACATCCGAGAGTGGGGAGAGTCCATTCTTCCTCTCGAAATGCTCTCACATGGACACGCGTATATAGCCTCTGCTAGGGAAGTCCTACTCACTGCCTTCTCGTACCACGGGTGTTGTTGTTTACGAAATAGAGAGGACGAAAAGCGAATATCTGGTGCTTTAACCGGGTTGACTAACACGGACAGTCCACCTAGGGGAATTGGATAACCCTCATTACAAACAATTGGTGCATATGGGCTTCAGGATACTGACGGAACAAATGGTGTATGAACCTATTGTTGGTCACCGGCTATCATGGGACTGCATCTCTCGAGGTTGCTCCATTGCCTTATGGATTAGACCTTTAGGTTAAAGGCTCGGGCTGTGACCCACTAACAAAACCACCTTTTTCGATTTGAATACTTGGTCAGTATTCCAGCCCTCACACATATCAAATGAAATTTGTGTGGCGCATATGTATGTGGTGCCTTCTTGTACCAATATCTATGTGTTAAAATAAATAAATAAATAAACAGTAAGACTTGAACCCGGTACATTTACTGCTTCAAAAACCAATGTGTTTAGTAAACTACTCAGTCACAACAGAAATCATATTTACAGACTAATCTATTAGATACATACCTTGAGATAAAAGCATAAAACATTAGGTAAATGAAGTAAACTGAATTGTTTAACAGCCGGTCGACCAATATTACATTGTGAACACCATATTAAACCATCAATTAATTCTGGTCGAAAATAGGATCCAAGACATGCTTGCAATGAAGTAGAACCACGTTGAATTACATCTAATGAAAGATCTAAGAATGGATCTACTGTTGATGATCTATGCTCACAACCTTCATATGATATGACAGATTCCAAATCACCAAAAAACACCTACATATATATGTATATATATGCATACAATAGAGTAACAACACACGCGGGAAGAATCAATTTTAAATCCAACTCAAAACAAAACATAATAGAAGAAAGTTTTGAGGATATCCTATGAAAATTTAATTCTTGCTTAGGTTTACAATTTATTTTTCAAGAGCTAATAACTGAACAATAATATTGTCTATTGTAGATGACAATAAGAATTCTCTTGTGAAAGACCTGTCTTTTATCGATACTTAAGTGCACATGTATTCAATCAAAAACGGTTGAATTGTAGCTGCATACATTGTCAATTCGTATCATTGGAGAAGTGAAGGTTGCACTATGCCACAAATAGATCTAAGCTGGATATAAACAGAATTTGTAACAATGCCGTGGTAGTTAGTGTCGCCTGTCAAGTTAGATTGACTGGACTACTCAGTCCATTACTTCTTCTACCAAGTCAGGTGAGTTGGCTGAAGAATGGTTAACTTAAGGTTTGAGGCCAAAATCATACTAAGATGTGATAATCATAAGATGTTTCTTTCAAATCAACATGATTTGTGATGATGCCTTCGCACAATAAAAGGAGGGTCACATAGAGCTGATGCATAAGTGACATATCCCATTTGATCTTGCGGATTTCTATCGACAACGTTAAGTTCTTAAAAGTACGGAGGTAACATATCGAAAACTACTAACAAAAACGCTGTATGACTGACCTCAGTCGGTTATCCATTTGGCTCTGAGATCACCTTCCCGGGTCATCAAAAACATTCATAACTCAGTTTTCTTTTCAGGTCTAACAAGAAAACTTATCCCTCAATAGTGTATGCAACCTGGAGGTAGTAAACGCCTTGATATCTCTAACAGAACTCGAAATTATTTGACTGAATGTTTCGCTAGTTTGAATATATGATACAGCGAATATTTATCTCTCAAAGTACAATAATACAAGCTTAATCACACCTATGAATAATCTAATCACTTTGGAAGATATGCCAACTCGGTTGATAAGTCTTCAAAGACTATGGAGTAATTAGGACTATGTGTTACGAGTATACTTCATTAACTATCCTTTACCTCAGAAGAGCAATGTTGACAGAAGTGGAAGTACACTGGAAGAAAGCTAAAGGTAGTGATGTGAATAGATAGGTAAAGAAGCCATGACGAACAACGAAAGCCATTTTTGAAGACATTATTTCACTGAATTTAAAGTTTCTAAAATACTAACACTTAGGTTTGTTCCTGGGTTATTCCATAAACAATAAGCTTGTGTGTGATGCATGATTCACTGGCATGCTCTCTATTGTTCCAAAGCTATTGTAATTTAAACTCTATTCTTCTAACCTAATGGTTAGTTTAAACATAATTGTATTTTTCTAATGGTTTGTGCATTGTGGTCGAGTAAGTCATCTATCTTTTTATATTAATCTAAATCAAGAATAAATCGAGTAGTGTTCCAGTTGACTGGTCTTCTCTCTAGCTTGCCAACTAATCAGGTGATGGAACAGTTTTCAACTTTCTACCCAAAATTGTTAGTCTCAATTTGAACTCACACATTTCTAAACACAAAGTTGAACCAGTTAGCCTATCGTATCAATCTATATCGAGATAAGTTCTCTTCTGTATATTATCGGGTAGATAGATCGAGGACGTAACAGGTAGAAATAAACGAAATCATAGTATCAGTACATGAAGTCATTAAATGCCTGGTTAGAATCTGTATGACTAATAGTTATTAATCTTCAGTAACATGATACAAAACCGATTGGATTAATGCAGATGCTTTCATTTCGTTATTCTGTTCCCTTTCAGGTGATATTCTCTTTTTATTTTGGCCATAATATCATCAATACTACAAATATTCCGATTCCTCTATTCATCGTTTTGTTGGATTCCATTTCACCATGCTGAACTCGTGTAGTACAACTCAGGTGGATGTAATATTTTAGGCCAGTTTCTGAGTGGACCATAAATAATTGACCTGCAGCCGATTTCAAACCACACCATCTGAGGTTTCTCACAATACATATATATATTTAAATATATACGTAGTTAATGAAACAACTCCTATTAATCAGTAAATGATTTTACCAACTAATACAAGATCTTCGCCTAATTATACTCAGCATTTGTTTAACCCATTCCCTATATATGTTAGCCTGTTAATTGACAGTGTTAGAACCCATTGTATCGTATTAGTACTGTTAACAGTACAGCTGATTCAATGTAAATCAACCATTCACTACATAAATATACATATGCATAGATAAAAATTTTCTCGCCTACCTACCTGATGAACAATACAATCACAAGAATCGGAACTTTCTCGAGAACTCGATACTGATGATGCTTGTGAATTTGAATCCGGTTGTGGAATACATTCAGTTGAATTGATTATTTTCGGCGTTTCTCTAATCACTTTACTATTATGCTGATGATGATGTAGTAAATTATGATTTGTATTAATAAAATTACGATTTGGATTAGAAGAGCGTGATTGTTGATCATTGATAAGTTTTTGTCCAGTCAATGTACAATTCTCTAATAATAGAAATTGTATTTTACATGTAATAACCAACTTTAATGATTAAAATAACGCGGGCTTAAAAATTAGTAAACATTAAATACCTGTGTCATAAGATTACAGGATTTCTCAATAATTTACATCCCTAACCCTAACAGGGATCGAACTCGCAACCTTCATGTATCAAGGTAGGCACTGAGCTTTTAAACCATTGAACCAGCACCTATTGTTTACATGTCTAGTCTCAATGTATTCGCAAATTTACGCAACCATTGGTGGGTAACTGCATTATTACCAACATAGCTGAACTTCAATTGTTAGTCTCTCACAAACATGTCAATTCAATGGTCTAAAGGTAAAAAGCTCATCACGAGACTCGGAAGCCGGAACGTTCGAACCGGAATGTAGTTCGACACTAGGACGAAGTAGCTGTTCAGTGCCTCCTTGTTTGAAATTGTTATCTAACCAAACTCAATCCATGATATGAAGAGTAAACTGGGGAAAAAACTTTATACTCACCTTCATGATCGTGTGGTGATTCCTCGCCGACAAGATGACCATGTATTAAAGTCAACAATGTTATAAGAAATTCATGAGCATCCCGTTGTTCATAACCAGCTAAATGACTTGCATGTAACCAAATTGCATACAGTAGATTATTTGGTACAAATGGAGTAACAACGGGTTTATATAACTATATATTCGAGAGATAAAAAATTACTTCGATTATGTATATATATACACAAAAGAATTAAACATTTAACAATCAATGCTTATCGTGAAGTAACACCAACCTACATTTGAAAACATACTCTGTATAATGTGAAACTCTGGCTGGAGCACTCCTAGGGTTACTTTCGATCCCAAGTCCTTGTAAAGGAGGAAGATTCGGGATAGGTTTAGCAACCACGTTTAATGAAAGAGAACTTAGCTAAAAAACTCTAGCCAAAAAATTCATTTTGACCATTTAAAATCTGGTCTGGGGATTTTCGTATAAAAGTTATAACGCCTTATGGTGAAAGCCGAGATTTTTCGGAAATCACGAGGCCAATACTCCTGACAACCAGAGTAACAATTGATATGAATACAAGGAATGTCTACAAAGTGTAAGGGGATCGGAAGGATCATTCACATAGAGGCAGAAATGAAAAGGCAGACTTGGAATCTTCAAGACAAAAGGAAAACAGGGGGACATCAGAAGGATGAACAGCACTTGGCAACAACTAGGAAGAAAGGGCTCAGGACGGATTTGACTGGATATCCCTGGTCAGCAACCTATGCTCCAAGATAGGTAACAGGCTCAAGTCTGTATGATGCGCACCTCTACAATAACATACAGCATTGAGAACTGAAGATCTTAAGATATAAAGAGGTCAAGTCAGAAATAAGGTAAATGTGGTAAGTAACTCTCAATGACATTCGGATGAGGATTATGATATAAAGCAAGTTGAATTAAAAAAACTGGATACTTCGAAAACCTATGAACAATAATAACTGACTCAATATGCCAAAAATTGATATTTGTGTGTTCGACCCGAGAATGCAAAGAGTTTACGAGCAAAGATAAAACAACTATCCAGTATACCTTAGTTATCAGTGGTTTTTCTGGTTGATATCGTTCCTGATGTTGTATAGTCTCCACAAAACCACTGCAGTAAATGATATTCATAAAAATCCAGTAACTTGATCTACTCTCCGTACAAATTGAAAACATTATATCAAACAAGGTTGAAAAGACAAACAACTATGAAGTTAGAGTCTCCTTTCCTTTCTCTTTCCAGATGTCCTTATTCATAATAACTACATGAGATGAATAGTGATCAATGTCAGTTTTGTATTAAATGGATTCCGTCGGCTAAGCTACCATATGATTACATGTCTGAATGAATCAACAAGGAAGTGTACAGTGATATTATAAGCAAACAAGATAGATCTGATGCTTTGATGAAAGTGGATATTCCCACCTTTTGCGCCCCATTGATTTAAACCACAATACCAACTTCATTAACAGAATTCAATCAAGTACTAAGGATAATGCAACACGATGCTCGTGTAATATCATGAAATGGCTGAAGTTAGGAATGTAAACCACCAATTCGGCAGTCTAATGGTTAACTATTCACCCCGACACTTCGAAATCTGGTAGGGTCGTAGATGTCCTCGCTGAGAGATCCTGTACGAGTACTAAATAACTATTCAATACTTTCTGACTTTCACTGGTTGCCTAACTAAAGTCAGTCTGTGATGTACAACCACTATAAAGAAAAAATGACATTTTTTTACTATTAAACGTGATTTTAATTAGTGTACAAACATTTCAATTCTACATGGCAAAAGTTGTGGAGCAAATACCTCATTTTTAAATATCTATAAATGTAACGAAACGAGCGTCCTAGATTCCACTGTTAGCCACTATCCATCCGCCCCCAAATGCCCTGGTACGGTCAAGAGTGGAGAGAGTCAGCTCCCTCTCTCCAAATGCTCTCAAGTGGCCACGTGCATACGACCACTGCCTTCTCGTGGCGGGGGTGTTTTTTAAGAAATTGAAAGGACGAAAAGTGAATGTCCGACGCTTTGACAGGCTTAGTGGACACGAAGAGTGCACCCAAAAGAGTTGGAAAACCCTGATTCCGAATCAATGGTACACATGGGCTCCAGGACCCTAAGGAAACAAATGGAGTATGAACCAATTATTGGTCACCGGCTACCATGGGATTGCATCTCCTGACGTTGCTCCACTGCCTTATGGGTCAGCCCCTTAAGTCGAAAGCTCTGGGTGTGGCTCCCTATGAAAATCACCTGCTTCGGTTTGGGCGTCCGGGCAGTATTCCAGTCCACACACAAATTGAGTGACGAAGTGTGACGCATATCTATTTGGTGCTTCCTTGTACCAACGTTTATGTGTTTAAATAAAATAAAATACACTATCCATCTTTGCTTAGACTGTAACGTTAAGTTTGGATTCCTTGAAGAATATTACTGGTCTAAGAATTGATGTTATACAAAAAAAGTATGTTAAGCAGTGCTTCTTATCAAGCGTTTCAAATAGCCAAACAAGATATTTATTTAAACAATGAATTATACGCGTAAATATACATATATATACCTCTTGTGTAATGCGAACCATTTCGCAAGCTAAACAGTTACGTGATCGAGTTGGACTTGAACACCTATGTAAATCAGCCAATAAATAATCCCGTAAAACGGGTGTATGCGTCAACGCTTGTATGACAACATTTAAGAAACATGTATTGCCCATATTGATAAGACCACGCATAGCTACAGAAAAGGTACAGAAAAAAAAGGCTATTTACATTGATTATTCTTTGAGTAGTGACCATTATCATGTCTATCTGATCGTTTATTGTCAACTACGTCTAACCACTTAATACCAGATAAGTTATTTATTTACTTTTTCTTGAATAAATATATTCATATCAGAGGTTATTAGTGAAGACCTGTATTTGTGATTTTAAACTATGATCTAACTTAGCTACATACTCGTTGAAAATTAAACTGAACTGAATTGTTGTTTTGTCTAAGTACGGAACTACTCAACAGTGAGTATCCAAGAGGAGAATTCCTAAAGTACTAGAGAGAAGCTAGAATTAATGGGAGTTCAATCATTTCTAGTGTGAGACAAGTATTATGGATGATAGTTAGATGATACTCTGAAATTATTGAACGTGGAAATGTAAACCATCGGATAGTATGAGCTGAAGAATCTGAAAGTAACGTGCTTCCTATGAAACTAAGAAACCCTGAGTATAATTCCTCAGCGGCATCATAGGTGTGCATTCCCGAAGTGTCCCATGACAGGACAAAATAACTGTTTTAATAGTTGTCTAGGTAAAGTCAGTTTAATACTTAACCTATGAATAATTTTTTAAAAATCATTATCAGGTACCCTACGTTCATAATTATTGTACTATAAAGGACTAAATAAGGTACACATAAATAAGCGAATTAGACAGTGTAACATATTTTTTTAAAAACAGAAAGTGAACTTTGTATCGGTTAACGACTCAAAACATTCAAAATGTATCATTTTTGAATTCCTCATTACTACTTAGTTAGGGTCCACGTGACTATCGTAACCAATGGTTGGGGACTCTGGGTGACATGGCTCAGGATCGATCACAGTTGCGTAGGTGTATAAACTCGTTGTCTTCTCTTATACTATGAGATTAAAATTACTTCATAACTTGCTTTTTACGAACTAATTCTTTCTCCCTGTATTATATCCTCATATGCAATCTTTCTTTTATATATTACTACCATTGAAGTAACTACTTCTATGAATTTGGTGTTCATCTTGTTATGTTAATGAGGTCAGTCAGACATGCACATAAATGCATCGGCCCAAGAAACCACACCTCATTAGCACAGCAAGACGAACACCGATTCATAGAAGCAATTAACTCGATGGAGTAATATATAAGGGAAAGGTTTTATGTCAGGATATAGTACAGAAAGAAAGATGTGAAATAATTTTAATCTCATAGTTTAAGGGAAGACAACAAGTGTATGCAACTATGCAATTGTGATTGATTCTGAGCCATGCCATCCAGAGTCTCCAACCATTGGTTACGATAGTCACGCGGACACCACCCAAGTAGTCTGCATCTAACAGCATGGCTCATACTAGAAGTTAGTGACTTGAAGCACTGATGCTACGTTTTGGTTTGGCCGCCCCTAACGTCCTTCCAACCACTCCTAACACTAGTCGGCATTGTGAGTCGTGGTAATCGGTGTTCAGGCATAAGTAACACGTGGCCCAACCATCGATGGTCCTACGTTGTAAGTGACTGAAATCAGGTGAGACGCTCTCTGTTTCATATCTCATCCTGAAAAAAATTAATTTAATGAGTATGATTATGGCTTCGTTACATAATTGAAGCGATCAGGATCACTTCTAGAAAACTAAACTAATATATTCAAAGAAAAAGATATATTTAACTTCTCTGTTCATAGTGACACACGATTAGGTCACTTCTTACATAAATTATGTATTACAAGCCTTTAACTCCCATCTTATTTTATGTTTATCTCCGCCTTGTCCTATCACATTTTTGATTTGCACACTCATCATTCTCAATTTATATGAATTTCTTATTACAATTGCCCCCATAAAACCTGTCTTATTACGTAATATTACTACATACGCCTGTTAATCCTCATGAATGAACATAAGCTGTCCACCAGCACTCTTCATCCAACACTGTCCTGGACGATACTTTCCATTTGATACTCATCCTTTTCATATCTGCTTCTATTTCCCGACGTAATGTGTTCTTTCGCCTTCCCCTCTTTCACTTCTCTTCAAAATTCCAAGTTAGGAATTGCTTCGTGATGCAGTTTGATGATTTCCGTAATGTATGTCCCATCCATTCCCATAGTCTTTCCCTAATTTCCTCTTCAGGTAGAAACTGGTTTGTTCTCTCCCACAGAAGACTGTTGCTGATGGCATCCGAACAATGGATGTTGAGTATCTTGAGTAGACAACCATTTATAAATACTTGTACCTTCTTGATGATGCTTGTTGTAGTTCTCCAAGTTTCAGCTCCGTACAGTAGACCTACCTCGACTTTCGTATTGAAGATTCTCACTTTGATATTGGTTGACAGACAGTTGTTTTGAGTTCCATATGTTCTTCAATTGTAGGAATGCGACCCTTGCTTTACCAATCCTCGCCTTTACGTCTGTATCTGATCCTCCTTGTTCGTCGATGTTTCCCAGGTATGTGAAGGATTCCACATCTTCTAGAGTTTCGCCATCAAGTGCAATTGGGTTGGTGTTCTCGGTGTTGTTTTTGATGATCTTGCTTTTTCCTTTGTGTATGTTGAGGCCTACTGCTGCAGAGGCTGCTACTACACTAGTTATTTCAGTTAGCCTGGCATAAAATCTCCCCTAGTATGCATTTTATCCTCATGATTTATTGATTGTAACATAATGCTTAACAACGAACTTTCCATCTTTTATAAATGGCCTCATACACTGACAAATGACACATTTTAAATCTAGTTGAACAGTAATTGTCAATGTCAAAATTCACCAGTTTAATAACATTAACTATTGGATTGAGTCATGTAAGTACATAATGGTTACATTGGTTGAAATTTGGATGATTATTGTGGCCAATGATTAGAGACTTTGAATCGTTTGGAATGGCTCAGATTCATTCACATTTTGTATTCTTTTAGATTTTAAGTTGTTAATTCCTCAAAAGCTTTTTTTATGATTCACTCATTTACATTTTCGTCTCAATTCGTATCTTTGATGTTGAACCGCTTTTATAACCGCTAATACTGTTAATACTATCTCTAATACTCTGATATTTGTCTAGATAATTTCATCTTGGTGCACTTATCGGGTATGGTAACTTGTACCGATGTACATATTTGTCAAAGCCTACATTGTGTTTGACTGACTAACTAGTCGACTAGTCTAACATAACATTGTCTAATTCTTCTATTCACGTATGCCTTATTTTGGTCTTGTAATAAAACAGCTACAAATTTATAACTGCAGAGTCACTGATGATGATGACGATGGTGAAGTTACTTAAAACAATTGTTCACTCAAATGTTCTTTAATTTAGGATACAAATGGTGAAATGTGGAACACGAATTGAAATTAGCTTCATCGTTACTTAGTAATCAAGACAACTAACTCTGACACTAAGGACTAAGCAACCAGGACATGTTAATAACAACAAATAACTAATCAAGCTAATAGGATGAGAATCTTCACAAATTCTGTGCACAAAAAATTGCAGGCCAAAATAAAACACTAAGTAGACAAACCTCCAGAACAGCCATTTACAGTTAAGGGTAATACTGGAGTGATATGAGGTATGAGGCGTAATTCATTAAACGATGGTCTCCAATAACGATTGGATAAACCTGAAAAATTAATCATAAGAGTAATGAGAATATTAAATACTACTGAAATTGCTGATAAGAATATAACTTAATTACAACGAAACCTCTGAAGCAAGTTTGAAAGAAAAAATGAGATAAAAGCTGATACAATGTACTGTTTTTTGACTCCTATACAGAAGTTTAAAACATTCTAATTGAAAACGAATATAGCAATGTTATAAGACTATGCGGCCCCCAAATGCCCTGGTATGGCCAAGAGTGGAAAGAGTCTGCTCTCCCTATCCAAATGCTCGCACATGGTCACGCGTATATAGCCCCTGCCAGGGAAGTCCTACTCACTGCCTTCTCGTACCACGGGTGTTGTTGTTTACGAAATTGAGAGGACGAAAAGCGAATGTCTGGCGCTCTAACCGGATTCCAAATCAATGGTGCACATGGGCTCCAGTATCCTGCGGGAACAAATAGCGTATGAACCAATTGTTGGTTACCGGCTTCCATGGGACTGCATCTCCTTATGATGCTCCACTGCCTTGTGGATCAGACCTTCCGGTCGAAGGCTCGGGGAGTGCCCCCCCTAAGATAACCACCTGCTTCGGTGTGGGCACCCGGGCAGTATCCCAGCCCTCACACAAATCTAATGAGATTTGTGTGGCGCATATGTATTTGGTGCCTCTTTGTACGAATATCTATGTGTTGAAATAAAAATAATAATAATAAATCCTAGTGTGCAATTTCAACATTTTATCTGATCACACTGATCCTTCCCTTTTGAATCATAACTTCTTCATTTTGAATATTCAAAATCTCAACAGCTTTATTACCTGTTCGCTTCATAAAAATAACAATTTCATGTCTTTTTTGTTCATATGTTTTTTTATTTGAAAACATAAATATTGGTACAAAGGGGCACCGAATACATATGCCCCAAACAAATCACTTAATTTATGTGTGGACTGTAATACTGCTCGGGTGCTTAGACCGAGGCAGTTGGTTTTCTTAGGGGGCCACACCCGGAACCTTCGACCTAAACGTTTGGTCCACAAGGCAGTGGAGCAAAATTTTATAATCACTATTATTGTCATTGTTATCGTCTGGAAAAATAAGTGTACATTTGTGATTGTACCGCTTTAAAAATGAATACGCCGAAGAGAGGATTCTGCGCTGAATGAATTTTACTTATTTGATTTTGTTCATGCAGGTCTAAATTATCCATGAATGCTGCTAGGCAGAATGACTCTGGATATAATCTAACGTGTGAGACTGACCTTATAAGAAAAATATAGCTAATTAACAGATATATTCGTAGAAAATAACTAGTCAAATTTCAAGTGTTTTAATCCTCTGAATAGGTTTCGGCGAATCAAATAACATGATGCTCTTGACATAAGAGAAGACTTTTTCTCTTAATAAAGAAAATATGACTAGTGAATTTTTCTAATATTACCAAATTGTTCTTGTCGTAAAAACTAAAAAATGACAACAGCTAATGCAAGCATTACTACTTATCCACCTAGAAAATTGAACAGTGACATAGTTCAAATTGTTTTTAACAGAGTAAAAATGTCACTCCACACTCAACATTGAACCCGATACAAATGAATTGGTTCTATTTCCCTAACCAAATTACCACAATGAGATAAAATTATTTCAAGACAGATACTAGAGTACGATAAATAACAGTGTCACCAGTAGAACAGAGTATGTATGGAAATAAAAAAGAACATAAGATTTCAGGACTCAAATCCTAGAAAAAGACAAAGGAGTGGAAGCACCTGTGTCATTGCGAACGATTTTGAGTCATGTCACCTAAAGTGTCTAACCATTGGTTACGATAATCAAACGGACCTCAGTCAGAGTAAACATACGATCTTTATTTGTTGGTTTAACGGATAATCAAAATATAGTTCCTATTTCAGGCCCCAAAATACCCTGGTACGGCCGAGAGTGGGAAGAGTCAGCTCCCACTTTCCAAATGCTCTCACATGGCCACGTGAATACAACCACTGACACAAAAGTCCTACTCACTGCCTTCTCGCGGCATAACTGTTGTTTACGAAGTCGAGAGGGCGAAAAGCGAATGTCCGACGCTTTAACCGGGTTCGTGAACACGGAGGGTTTACCTAGGGGAGTTGGAAAACCCTCATTCCAAACCAATGGTGCACATAGGCTGGCTCCAGGATCTTAAAGGAACAAATGGTGTATGAACCAATCGTTGGTCACCAGCTACCATGGGATTGCATCTCCTCACGATGCTCCACTGCCATGTGGATCAGACGTTTAGGTCAAAGGCTCCGGGTGTGGCCCCCTATGAAAACCACCTGCTTCGGTTTGGGCACCCAGGCAGTATACCAGCCCTCACAAAAATCGAATGACTTATGTGGCGCATATCTATTTGGTGCCTTCTTGCACTTATGTTTATGTTAAAAAAAATAAAATAAAATATCATGGTAATATTTAGTGAAGAATGAGACTCACCAAATTGAGCTAAATAAGTGCGACATGCAGACTGATGAAAACTTTCAGCCACAGAATGGTAAACAAAATCACCACAACCAGTACAAAATAATTCACCACGTTCTGTACAAACAGCTTTATGAATATAACAAAAAAGGATCTGAGTGATTAGTTTTCCATGAACAATAAACAAACATACAGAGAGTGTGTGAGTGATTAAAATCAAATGTAGTTCTATAATTATTTTGCTAAGCAAAAAATAGTTCATTTTAATTCGTTTAATAATCATTCCTCGCTAGAAATCTTTAACTATAAGTTAACAAACGATCATTTAAATAAGTCAAAACACTTATCATTTATAGAATTGGACGTAGGGGGGTATTAGGTTTATGAATTTTCGGTAATCCATATAAATTAGGATATGCCGAACCCATAGGATGAGTTTAATTTATTAAAACCTATGGGTTCGGCATATTCTAATTTATATGGATTACCGAAAATTCATAAGACTAATAACCCCTTAGTCCAACTTTATCAATGTATCGGTCGCCTACACACAACCTTGCAAAATGACTTATCATTTAGTCGATTCTTAGCCGAAGTATGATTCTGCTATATGACATTATACAATATCATAAAGCCTGTATTTTTGGAAAAATCTCATGTAATATAATAAAAAAGCTTCGGATTACAGAGTAATGAACAGTTTTCAGCAAATAATCCAATCTGAATTTTTCATAATTACTCATGATAACTAAAAAAAAATTACAGCTAACAACAATTACACATAAAACACGATAGACTTACAAAGATAATGATCAGGATGGTCTTCTCTGTGTAAATATATATGACGATAATCCCAACAAGCGAAATGAATACAATGAGCACATGCGAGCAAACATCTAGGTCTTATCAAATCTTTATTGCAAACGTCAAAATCTTCACCTCGTGTTTTGCATAAAGTGCAATATAATGAAGCCTGATTAATAACAAAAAATGATGATAATTTCTGTAGTATTTTAAAGTTTTTTGACTGCTACTTAATATATAATTTAAGTAACTGAAACTGAAATGTTTAGATCTTTGTCGAATTATTTAGGAATTCCAAACACAATATGTGTATATCGTTTACAAGTTACAGAAGGATGTTTGTGACGTTTAAATAAGTTTTTTGAAAGAAATATTACACACAAATATACGCTTGTTTGGAAATCAAAGATTGACAAACATATGTTCCCTCTAGAAAAACTAGAAATCTTTAAATATAATATACAACTAAGATATTGCGTAAAAGTCTGAACTCAAAAGATGAATTTTAGCATGAAAGTCAATTATAAATCAACAGTCTTCTCTGAATTTATATTTTAGTATATTTCAATTAATTGGAAAACCAATTCATTGTCATGGTATTTGTAACATATATATAATTCTCGTCATTAAGAACCGATGAGCATGAACTCACGGATATTCACCTTGCATTAGTTTCACATCTATATATTAAACCAGATAGATCAAATAGTACTGTTCGAGACTGACCTAATAGTTGCATGATAGTTTATGGCCTTATTCTTAAAGAAAGTTATGAACCATCAAATTCCATTTATAGATATCAAAGACCTAAAGATCATCCAACCTAGTGGCTTGAGACGTGACTAAGAATATAATTTAGCGGTGGTAGTGTTTTAGCTCTATATTATATGCATCATAAATGGCAAAACATAGTTGAAAGAAATTTGTTGTATGTAAATTGACTGGATTGTATTTTTAGTGGCCTATTGCACTAATTCTCTAACAACCAAAATGGTAAATAAGAATGGGTATGATAGTAGTGAAAACAATCAACAGTTATACCTATAAACTTTTATTTGCATAAAGCCATGAAGACTTCTTAAAACCGAATTAACTTATACGTAACAACTGAGTAAATCTAGCTAAAAGTTAATGACATGTTAGGCAGACTAAGTTATTTGACAAGTTGTTTACATTAACACATATTTAACACATTTCAAAACCAAGATACTACTATTACAGAAAGTGTACATCACTGTAAAACATGGTATTTACCAGGACTTACAAAATAAAACTTTGTATCTTATAACACATCTGCAAGTCAGAAAATCAGTTTGTTCCTAAATAGGCTCAATGAATACCAATCTTCGTAGTTTAGTAACGAAAGTCAAACGACTACGATTTTATGTTATCTAGTAGCTTCAATTAAAAAATACTCGAACATAAAGGTAGGGCTTCACACAAACAATAAATTCTCTAGAGTGAACCTAGGATGCAATTCTCTAGTGTGGTGACTAACTGAAAGTATCTCAAACAAACAGTACATAATTCGTAGCCTATGTAACGACGGAAAAACAATATGCTAGATGAATGACCTGTAAAATCTCTAAATTTCTCGAAAGACAATCCGCGTTTCAGTGGACATACCTTATGAGTGAATTCACGCTTGGACTTTGGGAAAGCAAGATGGTTAATTATATTTTTGTATGCAATTTCATTTGTCTTCTGTGTGAAGAATTGGTTCGCATGTTTGCAAGACATTTCAGGCATATTTGACCTTAATGTCTATATTTTACCCTGGTCACTAACTAGACCATAATTAAGTTTTTTTGATTGATTTCATATCAGTGAAAATATGGGTGGAAAAAAGCCTAAGATACTGAAAACCCGAAATGTTTATAATTAGCGCCTGAGAGCGTGTGAGCTAAGACCGGTTTCATTGGTTGGTCCGGTAAGGACTAAAATCTTTAGTGTTGAATGTCTTATTGACTAGCAAACATCGTTCAATTTTTTCTTTATGGTCCAGTCTTCATATGAAGGAATAACTGGTACTTTACAGAAATCAATGGGATTCAAATGGTTCAAATGGTTGTGGACGGAATAGAAGAAGCTTTCGCTTAATAGGCTTTCGTGTCTAGTAACAGTGGATCACCAATACCTGCAGGCAGGAACCTAGGTATATTAACCATAATATAGGAAAAAGAAATTGGTAAATCATAATAATATATTATCCTTAGGCCTTGAGAATAGGCCAAGTTGTCTCTTAAAGAACTCCTGGGAAGTCGCTTGAACTAACTCAGTCGGCAACGAATTCCAGCATTTGACAACTCTTAAGGAGTAGAAGTTGTGTTTACAGTCCTTTCTGCTGTTTTGTGTCCCTGGTTTCTGGGTGTTACCCCTAAGGTTTGTGCTGGAGCTAAACTTAACTAGGTGTTCAAGGGAATGTCCAGAAGTATCAAGGATGCTGTAAGCCTTTAGAAGGTCGCCTCTAAGACACCTGTACTCCAATGAGTAAATGTTTAGTGATTAGAGGCGCTCCTCATAAGGCTTGAATTTGAGTCCCTGGGCTGATTTAGTGGTTTACCGTTGAATACGCTACAGAGTGTCCCTATTTTTTCGGAGTGAGGAAGGAAATACTATATTTTCGTACTCTAAATGGAGACGAATAAAACTGTTGAAGATTAGGTGTAAAGTTCTTCCGTCAGACTGGCCAAAAGTGCGCTTCAGTGTTATCAGTGCAAGGTTTGCTCAAAAGGCATTTCTGTCACAGCGTAAGACTTTGTAGCGGTAAATAAATCCCCAAAATAAATAGCTCTGTAAGTTTTCGACATTGGATGCTCACCACATGTTTTAATGAACTCACCTAGCTGAAGGCGCTCAGTCATGTATCCGCACCAGATCATATGTGGGAACGCCGTGCTCAACATCTACTGCAATCGCTAGCTAGATTAGATCAGACGATTCTCGATATATTGATATCACATCAAATATATCTTCCGATCTCCTCCATTCTGTCTTTTGGTTTCTCTTGGTGGGTACGCTTCATATTAGAAGGTGTTACTGGTTAAAGCGTTGTCAAGCACTGAATAACTGTGCCATCTTCATTGGTGAGCCTAAAGTGATCTGGTACACCAAATCGTAAAATGTGAGTCTGTTCCATCCTGGGATTCTATATATTATTGCTTCATCTTAATTTTTTATACATTGTTATCTTTTTTTCGTGCTTTTTGGATAAATATTTTTTTCACTCGTTCATTATCATACTTCATATTTCATCATGATTGAACTGACACCCAAAGTATTTAAACTTAAGACTTTGTCCCCACCTTCGTTTCAACTGATGTCCTCTTGGCCAGACAACATCGAAGACTAGTTTTGCTTCGCAGAAGCCGACTTCTCCGAGCACGGCGTGAACGACACACGTGCACAATTCCTCACAGTAGTCAAGACACTACCACGTCAATTCAACAGGTGCGTAACACCTAGTATGTTAACTAGTGATGTTTCTGAACCTTACGAAACGCTGAAACGTTCTATTCTTAAACTCGGAGACCTAACCGATAGACAAAGGTTAGACCAACTACTCAATAACATCGACCTGCAATACGGTTCTGCAACGGACATGTTGCAACGAATGAGAGAGGTTATAGGCCAAAGAACTTTCGATGATGGCCTATTTAAACAACTTTTCTTATCGAAACTTCCTTAACAACTTCAAATATCAGGGTACCAGCACTTGTAAATCTCTTTTAACTTGGGATACTTCTGGAGAAGAGTTTCTTAAGTTGTAGCTGCAGTTCGCGACATGTCACAGATGGACTACTTAACACTTTGAAGTGTTAAAGGTAAGTCCGTTGTCGTCTGTCCAACTTTGAATTCGAGTCAGGTCCTCCTGAAGTGCCTGTATATCGTCTTGGTTGCGTATCTCTCTTCAAAGTTTCACGTCGTCGTCAAAAAGTAATAAGTCTGACGATACCTGTTGTGAAAGATCTTTTTTTTAATCAAGAAGAGAAGAGGTCCTAGTACTAAGTCCTGGAGGACCACACTAGGACATTCCATAGCCTGAGATAAAGTGAAATTAACTCTGACCTCAAAATGTCGATTCTTCAGATATGAAATGAGCCAGTCAAGTAGAGGTGGTCTGATACCTAATCGTCTGAACTTATTGGTAAGGCATATATGGTTACCGCTATCAAAAACATTTGAGAAATCCAGGCAAATGACGTCAACCTTCTCTTTGTGATCAAGGATGCTTGTCTACCTGTCCACTGCAGTCAGCAGGTTGGTTATACAAGAATGCCACTTCCTGAAACCATTCTGTTGAGGTGAAAATGGGTTTGGTGATAATAAATAGTCGTGTGTACGTCACATATCAGGTACACCATAATTTTTGACGGTATCTAGAGAAGGGCCACCGGTTAGTAGCTTGAAGGTTCTTTGCATTGACCTCCTTTGAAAATTGGTATGATGTCAGCCAGCTTCCAAATTTTCAGTAGTTTGCCTCGGCTTGGCGAGTATGAGAACATCAAGCTAAGCGATTAATCTAGATACATGACACCAACAATCACATTGAATTCAATAAATAGTTGGCCATTGCATTATCCCAAATCTTGGTGTTGAGTTTGCATAAACTGATTGATTTCCTTGATCTCACTTATCGCTTGTTCGTTAAAGTTATATATCTGCGGTGGTGTTCAGTGAGAAGTAGTCTAACCATTTGACTGCACTAGTTCTAACCTTTTTTGTAGTTACTTATGGGATCATGTTATCTGAGTGAATTAATTAGTCTAAGAGTAACCGGTATTTTCGAGCCAGTAGCTGTTGCATTACCAGGTAAGAGGACGGGGTTGTTGAAATGTGAAAAATAATTCGAGGACTATCCGGATGCAGAAAAGCTGAGAGAAGACTGTTGTCTGAAGAAGTAAACAAATAAATAACTTAATTAGTTAGATACATGGACAGTGTGGGTCAGTAGAAGTGTAAGGACAAGAGGAAAATATAGATTGCTAAAAGCCTAATAGAAAAAATCAGTAATGATCACCACAACCTCTGTATCGTGCACATCAGCCTGGCCGAAATGTCATACTCCAGCTTAGGACTCTTGTGTACTGCCACACTGAATGGTTCTCCGTGGCCTGTTGAGTGTTTCCTCACGATCTGTTTTACAGACCACAATTTGTCGTGTTCAACTCTGGTTCTTGATGACCGTTTCAACGTCGATATCTGAGGCATCATGATAGTTTTCTGTGCCATACTTGTGTAATGCACAGTCACTCTTAGTGCGTAAGGTTTGTTTTTTATGCTAGTTTAGTTTCTTCATAAGCGACACAGTTTGAGTTGAATAGTAACCATGCCGAGCACGAGACAGCATTGTCCCACTGCTGTTCATCAAAAGCTGAACTGCTCTCCTGTAGAATACCCTCTGACGCTGAAAGATCAAAGAGAATTATCAAGTTTTGAACGGCATCTATTTCACAAGTTTTAATGGAATAGAAACTACGTCGTTCATATCTCCTTTTCTGGCAGTCACCTACTGTTAATTCCTACTATCATTAAGTGTGGTGTATAGGGTGAACTTGAAGCGTGTACTGATGTTTATCTGGGTTATCTCTCTCGTGATCACTTCTTTTCCTATGTCTGCCCTGGCTGTACTGATAGAAAGGGTACGATTTTTTCAGTTTAAATGGAGCTTTACGTTGAAACTTCATGAGTGAGTTTGACGCATTCTTTTCAGGTTTGCACACAATAACCACGAGACTGGTTGACGTAACATGAACATGTGGTACTGCCCGGGCGTCTCAGTGTTACAGCCACAGAAGTCCACCCACCAAACAACTCAATTCGAATTCTAATTTCTCATTCTAACCACTAACGTACACGCGATATAATTGTCACCTTTGTATCCTCCTCCAGCCTACGGCGTTTGCAAGTATCTTGTTTTGTTGTGCTTTTTGCTTCTGTTTTCCTTGCTTTTACAGAAACGGGACTCTGTCAGGGTGTAGCCCTCGGTTCCTGCACAGAAGATTTTTATGACTGTGTTGTGTAGACAGTACTGTATACGTTGCTCTGGGATGCCTTAGTTTTATTTTAGAGATTTTGAAGGTATCTAGCTAAATAAGGGGACTTTTACTTACTATCATCTCCTGCAATAAAGTCTGGACTTGCTATCCTTGCAACTATGGTGTAGGTAGTGGTGAGAACTTCATTATTGTGAGTGCCACTCGACAAACAAAAAAAACAAATATTAGTGGGTTTAAAAAAAATGATTATAAATTAAGCTGTCGCGGAGATGCCACTGGTTAGTTTGATTGCATTATTAAATTCACTGATTAGTTGCGCGCGTTTTTGTCGTCAGTTAGATTTGCTTTTGCGTATTTATCACGTCAGGAGCATACTTGATACACTTTAATTTGAATTATTCCAGTTAAGGTTTGGGTTTTTCTCCAAGCCCTTTTTGATACTCCTTTTCACTCGGTTCACACGCTAGTGATTGTGTTTTGCTCTTCTGTCGACGTTCCCTACTTAATTATCTTCAAAATAATAGCCTTTAGTTATAAATGTGGGCAGTTCAGTTGTTCCTTCCCTGTAGAGGAAGGAGTGCAATGTGATGATGTAAAATGTGGCTCCACAAGATGTGTAACTTTCTAAACACCACCGCATACGAAGGATGCTCGATGTCTATCTTCCGTTTGATTTGCATGTTTTGCTGTTCCAGTTGTGGCATCCATTCATTCTGGTTGTTCGTGTGTGATTACCTTAACTCGCTATCATATGTAATTTTAACAGACAGTGATATGGATTATGGAAGATAACTACAAGTAATGTAGTTGCTATTTGTGCAATTTACAGTCGAAATTTCTTTAGACTTCGTACTACTTATACAATTTTACTCAGGTGTCATGGCATTCACTTGTTGTAATCTATCCCATACTGTGCAATTCAGTTGTTTTCATTTAAAAAGGTGTTCGC